GATTCCATATAGAAGGCTCGTAATGAACACCGCTCCGAGAATATCCGAATCGCGCCGAATATCGCCGAGCATATTATCGCGCGAAAACTGGTTTCTCGTGCCTCGTAGGGGAAAGCCAGCCTACCGGGAAAAACTGAAAAATAACGATGCAACCCGACGTAAAATAAAAGGCACGATCGCGTGGTAAAAACGCCTACTCCGATCCAGATCCTTTTCCAGAGCACTCCGAAAATCTGATCCAGATTCTAGCAACAATAAGTAACGAGAAAAGGGAGAACAGAGCGTTGTCTACCTCGACCGAGCGTTCTCAGTTATCAGTGGCAGCTTATCTTTCTACCGGTTTCAGCAAGAAAACAGAGATGGAGTATTGTCCATCTCTACCGAGCGTTCTCAGTAGCCGCTGTCGTGCATTCTTAGTGCAAGAACAGCTTAGCCACTGCACCCTGTATTCTGCACGCCCGCATCTACACGTATTCACGTTATTACGCACTCATATTTCGAATCGAATCCGCGCGCCCATTATGAAACCGCGCTACGCGAATCAAAGCCGCTTGACGACGGGTTCGACACGCACGCACGCACAAACACGCGGTTATATTGTATCATACACATTATATTTCTGATTACTTATTTTAGAATACTAAATGAATTATTTTTTGTATCGTTACTAAACCTGGTATTATACTTTGTTAACATTCGCCTCCCTCTGCCACGAATCAAATCTTATTCCCGAAATCTTCCGACAAACGATTAACGGTTGTTTCAAATACATATCAATAATGAAGTATGAAAATTATATAATAGTACTGCTGACATTAGCATTATTAAAGGTAACGGACTAATGGTTAAAGCCTTAAATATTGTTCAAGATCATATTCAGAGACATATGATATCAAAGTGAAGCACTTATTGGAGTGTGCCTCCCAACAAGCGACACGGTGCGACGCAGGGATCATGTCATCTTTGTTTTAACATTAGCAAACAACAAAGGCTGCTTTCCTTTTAGGAGACACAAACCGACACAGTATAACACACTCAAACACAGTTTGCCACGCTTAAATGGAACGCGATATGTGCAGTGTGTGTATCGTGTGTACGAACTTTTAATACCTAACCTTAAAAGATTTGAATTTTGACCTTAACGGACATACGAGATCAGATTATTGCAAGGAGTGATGTGTATATTTTCGAGTAAAGGTACATACTTTGCATCAATTGGTGGAGGTATTCCAAAAAAAGATTTAACATCTTACAAGTTACAAACTTTTCAAAATTATTTTTAAACTTTACAGGTATTTATAAATATTGTATATCAAAATTTTTATCAAATAAAATATGTTTAAAAAATAAAGTTTATTATTATTTTTGTTGCTTTTTAAATAAAATATATAAAATGAATAATATAATATTTGAGGGAAAATTAACAACAATGCAGTGTTTAGCATTTTCGACTAATGTTACCGAGACACTACCGTGTCTCCAGATGCTAAAAACAGAACAAAATGATGGAAATTGGTTTGCGGGTGCGTTCTAATATCACTTAATTCATCAAAATTACACTTGAACAGACTCGAAACACACTCTGACTCTGCTCCCGAGCAGAGGCGAAGTGTGTCGATTGAGTTTGAACAAAATTGTAAATGGAAAGCGACGTGTGTCGATTTGTGTCAAGTGTGTCGACTGTGTCTCCTAAAAGGAAAGCAGCCAAAGATGTAATGATCCATTGTGTCACACTGTATTACTTGTGTCACTTGTTGGAAGGCACGCGGAGGTTCTGCTCATTTTCATTTTTACACTAAAAGTGAAAACGATGGGACCAATCTCCAATTGCTTTGATATATGGTGAACTAAACAACATTTAAAAGATTTTAGTAGAACATCTTAGATAATGCCAGTAGCGGTACTATTACTATCAAGCTTCATGACTCAAGATGTACTTTGTTATAGAGTTTTGGAACTCTTGACGTCAGCTATAAAACTATACAATAAAAACTAGGACTTTCCATTTCAGATTTTTGTTGATCTTGATCGCACTTTTCAAGTCATCTAAAGTTCAAATAAATACCATCATCTGATCAATTTTTTAAACTCTACAATCTTTATCGGAAACACTTAATCAATAAACCAATCATTTTCGAGAGGTAATTAACCGTTACGGAACTATTGACAAGCACTGTATAAATACTTTTTGTCATAGTACAAATATTTTTATTCAATCCATTCCAAAAGTATATTTCTCTAGGAATGATCAAAATAGGAAAAAATCCTTTCAATCAAAATGACAATATTTCTAAATATTTCTAAATGATGTAACCAAAAAAGCAAGAACAATTCTCGTTTAATCAAAGATGCGGGATACGTACATATATAGTGTAACATTTTGAAGTAATTCAAATTTCTATACTATACATATACAGTGTGTCCGGCAAAAAGCGTAACAACGCTTAAGGATAGGTTTCTGAGATCATTTTAAAACGAAAACATTAATACCAAAATGTCGAGGCTATAACGATTTTTTAATTATAAGTATTTAAAATTAACAAATCATATTGCTTAAAACTCACGCGTTTAAGTGTTGTTTGTATTTTACGTTGGAATTTACCTATAACATCTGAACGCGCAAACTTTAAACTTTTAAACTTTTAAGATATAATTTGCTAACTTTAAATGCTTATAATTTAAAAACTATTATAGCCTCGACATCCTGATATTAGGATTTTTGTCTTAAAATAATCTCAGAAATCTACTTTTAAACGTTACGGTCTTCAGTGAACACTCTGTATACATTTCAAGATCAAAATTACTAAAAAATTATTTTTTGTAAATAATTATGTTATTATTATTATTTCTTATATTCTTCATTAAATATAAGCAATGGCCAATTTTTGGAAAATCATTATTTTTAAATATATAATCTCTTTAAAAAAAATTGTATTAGAATAACATTGTCAAACCAGGATATTAAAACATTTTTTGAAGCTCCGCATTGTACAAAATTGTACAAAATTGAATGTATACTTTTCGAATGTGCTTTTAATAAAATATAATATATATTTTTTTTTTATTCAAAAAATATCAAAAAGTATACATTCAATTATATGTATTTTTTATTTTATATATAT